ACATTGCTACTCCTTGATTATCCAGTTATAAAAGCTTAGGACAGACACCAATTACCATCTCTGGACAGGCAAGGGAAAGCTGCTAAGATTCCTGATATAGTTTTCATAATGGTTAATAGCATTAGAGAAAAAAACAGGTTAGAAAAGATCCTTATGATCATCAAGTCCAACTGCTAACCTAAAAGTGCCAAGGCCACCATTAAACCACGTAACTAAGCATGACTCAACCACTTCCCTGGGCAGCCCGTTCCGGTACTTGACAACACTTTTCAGTGAAGAAATTTTTCCTAATATCTGATTGAAACTTCCCCTGGTGTGACTTAAGGCCACTTCCTCTCAACCTATCACTTCTTACTTGGGAGAAGAGACTGCCACGCACCTGGTTATAACCTCCTTTCAGGTACTTGTAGAGACCAATAAGGACTCCCCTCAGCCTCCTTTTCTCCAGACTAAACTACCCCAGTTCTGTAGAGCTTCACTACCCTCAGGCAGATCAACACTCCCACCTAACTTACTGTTGTCTGCAAACTTCCTGAGGGTGAACCTGATTCCCTCATCCAGATCACTGATGAAGATACTACAAAGAACTGGCCCAAATACGGAGCCCTGAGGCTATACCACTTGTGACCAGCCACCAACCAGATTTAACTCCATTCACAACTATTAGGGCCTGGCCACCCAGACAGTTTTTTATCCACTGAAGAGTACACCCATCCAAGCTATAAGCAGCCAGCTTCTTCAGGAGAATGCTGTGAGAAATGTCAAAGGCTTTACTGAAGTCCAGATGTAAACAACACCCACATCCTTTCCCTCATTCACTAAGACCACTTATTAATCAACTTTGGTCTAGGCTGCTGCAGTATACAGCATTTACTACTCCTCTTGTACATAATTTGAAAAGTACAAACTGCTCATCCTCAAAAACAGGTTCATATTTTCTGTGCCCAATTTGGTTTATGCAAATTATCTGTGGTGAGTTTTGTAGAGTTTGTCTAAAATCTGAGTGAAACTGGCCTTCTGCTGAGGTTCAATGCTGAGACTTCTGAATCATTACTGAAAAAAAAAGGTTAAGAATATTGATAAAATCAGCAGAGAAGCTGAAATGTCAATGGCACTGTTGTAGTTATCCTGTCATGCTTGTAATAGAGCCCATCCCTATGTGTTTTCACAACGTTGCAAAAACTCCTTTAGTACCATTTCAACTGCACTTGATAGCACTGCTCTAGAATGCTTTACTCTGTGTAGCAACTCATTCTATTCCATCTTGGCCTGATACAGAAAAAAAACATCTGTGAGATGGCTGCAACTAACAGCTGATCTTAACCACAGTTCCGCAATGTTTCTAGCACATTCTAGTCCCCAGTGACCAAACTCTACAATTGCTCTTGCAAGTTTTTGCTCTGAGCTATAGCACACAGATTATCAGCATAATATTCTGCTTTAGAGAGGCAATAGATATTTTATGGCAGTTTGAATTCTGAAATGCTCTCACAATGGTATTACAATTTAACCACTACAAAAGTCCTTTTATTGGCAAGTACTTGGGGGTAATGTAGTAGGTACACTGCAATCAAAACCACCAACTTTCACAAAAGTACTTAGCCTGTAGGAACACCAGGCTAGACATCTAGCAATTTAGCATTACCAGCACTGACTGGGAAGTCCACTTAAAGCACACATGCTGAACTAGACGGCTTATAGCTACAACCAAGAGTACTGATGCACCCCACTTAAAATGACTGAAATAAATCACAGTAATTTAAAATAGTTTAAACCCCCATTTTCGGCAAAACTATCTAATCTTTTTATAATGATGACTAAACCTAGGTTATTCCATACATACAAACAGTTAAATCATTTGGAACATCACCTGAGGGAGAACTGCTGCCTACAGCCTTTGTCCTCTATAGCCCAAATTTCCTAATGGAAGCAGGGTCTTGAGAGTCTACTTTTCACCCAGCTATTTGTCCAGACTCTTGGAACATGACCTAATTGGTGGCCAGAGATTCACAATGTGATGCAAGAAGTACATTGCTGTTTAGCTTTGTTTGGTTTGTACATTATTTTCTTTGGGTTTAACTGTTTGTTAGAAGTTATTTTATTCAATAGTAACTGAAAACAAATCATAACAGAGACAAGGATATGATTTGTTGGATGTGTTCTAAATAAGCTGAACATTTAACACATTTTACATTTAAGAGTCTCACTTTTTTCTGGTATGAAAAATGAGTATGTTCTAAACTAAAGTACTTACTAATATTGGATTAGAACTCATATTTCTATTGTATTCAACACATACTGGGCTGCAGTAAGAAGGTGACTTACTGCTTAACAATCTGTTCTATCTCATTTGTGCTTCTCAAGACAAGGAATTTTAGTACTTACAGAACCAAACGGGACTTTCAGATAATTCAAAATAATCCGTTTTGATCAAGTTCTAGCATACACTAGAACATGCATTTGTATGCGCGTATGCATACAAACACAAGTTCTACAGAGGCATTGGAAATAGATCAATTCAACACCGTAGTTAAAAATTTTCAATAAACACAGTGTTGCTTTACTAGCCCTGTAAACATCAACTCACAGAAGAGTTCAGTTTCCAAGTAAGTTACAGGAGAAACAGGGCAAACAAGGATAATCATATTGCATTTTCCATTTCCTTTTACTTAATTCATTTTGATATGCATGTAAAATCTACCTACAAGGTGATGTCAGGATTTACTAAAAATAAAGAAAAAGGTATGTCAAGGCCAATAAATCCATCAAAAAAATGATTTAATGATTTCTAACAGTAAGATGCATATATCTGGCACCATACATCTTGGTTACACAAGGGGAGGTGTCTTTTTTAATTAAAAGTTAAACACTGACTTCTGGAATACAGCTTAATTACAACTTGCATGGAAAGAATAGTTTTATTATGCTTAGCAACATTATTTAAAGACCAGAAAATTAACATAATGCGTTAAATGAGTGTTAATGGTTTGTAATTAATCTTGCTTAAAATTAGGAAATACATTGCAACAACCTAAAATAAGTTAATACAGTACTCTTTTTTTCCATTAGTTTGAAAGACTTAAAAACCACATCAAACCTCTTTGTGGTGCCTTCACTTGCAAATGAGATACAAATTTTTGCCCATTAATTGAACAACAATTATTGGATATTTTATGGCACTATGGAAACTTCAAAAACTTCAGTAAATCTACATGTGAAAAATTTAAAATAACCCTTACTTTTACACAATTTTGCTTTAGGCCCTACAGTAATCTGGAAGAGATTTGTGCATCTACAATGTGCTCCTACATGCACACTATTGTAGGAAAATATTCAGTCTGCTACTAATCTAATACATGAAAGAACTGAGCATAAAATAATAATTTAGTTACATTTTATGTTTTAGTATTAAAAAAAAAAATTCAATGGCTGCAACTATCAGATCTCAAAAAAAACCAAAACTGCCCCAGCAACTATGATATGAACATTTTCTAGCTGATCAGAACACATGACATTAGAAATAACCACTTCACTTACAATAAATTTACAATTTCAAATTAGAATAATTTTAACTCAACTCAAAGAACAAGCTCTGATAGCTAGAGACAGTAATGTACAGCCCTAACTTAGGATAATGTATATTTAAATACAAAATGGAAAGACTGAAAAGTATTTATTTTGTGGGTCTGTCTTCACACAGTAGTCTCTTTCAAATCTATGTATCTAGCACCTGAGTTTGCAATAGGGAAATACTATACTGTAAATTAAGGCTTTATAAAAACTCTGTGTTTTTTTTCTTTAATGTTGAAGTATGATTCTACAATAATCAAATGCAACCTATAATATGTTTGGGTAAATTAAGGTCTATTGACTTGATGAATCTTATTCACATAATGACCCATGAACTCATACACACAGGGAATGAAATTTCCTGAATCCTAAGTTATGTAATTAGAGTTGCAATTCATGTTTGCTAGAACAGAGTATTAATTTTTCCCTAATTTTTAAACTTAAAATTATACTTTTAGTTTTCAAATTAAAAGAAGGTTTACAAAATAACTGATTTTTTTTAACCTGTAATTATTATTGTTAGATCCGTATCACAGTGCACAAGGAAAAAAGCCCTAAAAAGTTGTTAAAGTAGGTGTATTTTTTTCCAATAGACTATTAAACATCAGCTGTCTCAACTTGTAGTTATCATTACAAATGTTCAGTTTATAAACACCAATGAAAAATACTTCTTAAGTAGTTAATATAGCTTCAGGGATACAAGAAAGTACCTACAATAGGAACTGTCTGGTATGTATGATGGAAATTTTTTTCCCCTGAAGATTCAAAAGTGATATGAAAATCAATGAAAAGTATGCTTCTGCTGTGACATATTCCCCACAGAAGTCTTACAAAAATTATACTACTGAATAGTGTAAACATAAGTGTCAGGTTGCATCTAGAGTAACAGACCACACATTATGGGAGAACTTGCAAGAAAAGATTGCCAAATTTCTGATCTGCTGCAGATTAGCAGAAGAATGTTACGCATTTGTTCCTAGTTGTAATCTAACCTTCATGCATATTCAAAAGCTACAGTATATGTGCATAGGAACAATAACCTCGCATGACGCTTTTTTATGCAGTTTCTTTAGCAAGATAGGTCCTCATGAAGATAATTCCAGGAAGCTGGCAAATTGTGTATAATTTTATTACATACACCCAGATTTCAATAAGAACAAACTTCATATAGGTACTTGGCAACAACAGAATAAAAATAATAAACAAGGTACTCATCACTTTATACTGCTTAACACTTTAAAGGCCTTATTTCCTACACATACTTATGTTTTACTAATGTTCCTCTTTTAAAAATGTATGAAGGATTGTTGCTTTGTAGTTCACATTTATATGGCTTTCCTAGAAGAACACAGAATACCATACTGAATGCCTATTGTGCAGAAATAACCCTGAAGGCTGTATCATAGCAGTAAGCAGTAGAAAACCCTTACCAATTTTTCATCAACTGTGATGAGTTGCGTGTCTCGAGTTTGGTCTTGTGCCAGCCGCCATGTGGAAGTGCTCAGTGACCTGCGGTGCAAGACTTGAAGTTAAAAAATGATTCATGCAATGAGAAAATAGAGGCAGACAAATCTTACATAAACAAGTTACTTTAACAATATCCGTCTTGTAAAAAAAATTGAAGAGGGAGAGATGAGGGCACAAAAATCCTTTTTCTCCCCAATTAGTTCTGTCTGCTGAGTTTTTGGCAGACTCCCACTTAGCAGTTCACAACAGGCTGCACTTTATGTCAGCCTACAGGCTCTCTGTCACAGAGAGACTGCCCGTGGCAAGGACTGTACTGCTCTATATGAATGTACAGTAGCTGGTTTGTCACGAACAGACAAAAAAATACATGGCTGCTGCAAACATTCTAGAACTCTGATCCTTAAAACGATGGCATCAGATGAAAAAAATCTTAACTCTATTTGTAATGGTAAACCTCCAGTTCTACATTTCAACAACAGTATATTAACAAATTTTTAAGAAAACAAACAATCCACAAAAAAAAAAAAAAAAAAAAAAAAAAAAAAAAAAAACCAAACCACCAAAAAAACCCTA